TAAAGTATCTGCTGAATTTATTGATAGTCAATCATTATTACCATTATTAACAGTTGGTGCTGAGATATTCCCAACATCATCATCGAATATTGGTAGAATACATAAAATGAGGATATGTTTACATAAGATACGTGATATGCCTCTGTGTACTACTCATATGAGATCACAATTCAATATCGATACAACTACACTATTACCAGCACATATTATGAATAATATTAATACTTATTCATTAAGAGATATGATGGATATTAATATACCACCATCACCAGTTGATAATAATAATCATAAGTTGGCAAGTATGATGAGTAATATTATTAATAAATATGTAACACATATATGGTCGTGTAATAATTGTATTAACAATAATTCTGGTATATGTATTATATGTAATTCATTAATACCAATATTCCCATTTAATATACACCATTATTATAAATGTTCCTATTGTAATACAATATACCATAAACAATGTATTAATAGATCCAATAATATATGTCCTAAATGCTATAATAACATCTAATACCACCACAACCACCACCACCATCACCATTTACCAATATAACTCGATCATGTTCACGTTGGATGATGATAATAATAAGGGGATGATAATGGTAATATTGTTGATGATGATCATACTGCTGCAGCTGCTACTCATCTTATTTCCCCTTTTGTTTGTCCTCCTCCTCCTCCCCCTTGTTATCGTGTATGTTGAAAGTATCACGTGGTAATCTGGGTGGTGGTGGTTCATCGTCTATGGCTGAACAATTATTCCCTGGGTATAAGGATAAGATATGGGCTATCATACCTGATGAATATAAACTTATTAAGATTAGGAATGATAATAATATATTCGAAAAAGGTATTAATAAACATAAAGCCTTTCAAGAAAGGTATATTACCTATAAGGATAATATAGAACAACGTTTTATACCATCACAAAAGTATAGGAAACCATCAATTGATTGGAGAAGACAACAGGCTAGAGGTACACTACATATTGGAAGATGGTAATAACAACAACAACAGTCAGTAGTAGTGATGATAGTAGTATTGTAGGTATGAAGGGCCTAATGGTAGTGATTATCGTCCTAATAATACAGTTGATAGGATGAAGGAATTAATACCATTTACTGATAAGGAATGGTCATTAAGGCAAGGTCAACGTACTTGGGATGGTCTTAAGTTTGTTATCATATGTTGGGGAGGTAATAATAATAATTAATAATAATAATGTATGGTATTGGTATTATTGTTAGTATGGATGGGATGGAAGATGACTCAGACTTATCCTATTGTATGGTGTGATGAAGAAGAAGAAGTGGAGTAGTATGAGAAGGACACGGTGTGTTAACTGTGATAGTAGTTGTAGTAGTGTGGTGATGATGATGATAGTATTATCATTAGCTTGTGGAGAAAACCCATCTCTTATTATACTTGTATTGTTTTGTTAGTATCGATAACGGTTATAATATGAATGTATCGTACAATCATTGAGCCTATCATTATTACCACCACTACTACTAGTGGTAGTATTAGTAGTTTTACATTAGGCCTATACGGCAATAACAATAAATACTACATGAGGACGTAATATAAATAGACAGCTTAATGATATTATCATCATACACTACCAACAAAGATCAGGAGGAGCAGCAGCATTGTACTATATAAACTTGAGTGAGTACCCGAGTCATACGGTAATACTACTACTACAAGAAAAAGAAGATGATGATGAAGAAGAAGTATTGCAGTGTTATGTCATGGTATAGTAAAAGGTAGTAGTTGTGGCTATAGAATAGGGAATAGCGTGGTATTAATTATTAAATGATGGATATACTGTACAAGCTTATTATAGAGTCCATACAGTGGTTATGGTTACAGGATCAATTATAATAACAACACCACTGTTCATGATGACATCAAAGTTCAAAGACAATACATTATTATAACTATCATAATTGTTGTGTTGCTAACAATAACATGTATCCATATTCCTCCTTTTGTTTCTCGTTTATCTTTATCATCATTATCAATGGT